TTAATTGAGACTATTAATTGGGCTAGCTAAATTATTCAATTTAATTTTAGTTGTGCCGTGAACTAGTTTTTATGGAGAACTGTGGACGGTACAACACTACCTGCACATAAAGTTATCTCAAATGTTCTTCTAAACATCATGCAGTCGGAACACTTTTATCAGCGACGACCTACAGCAGGGTTGCCCAACTCCAGTCCTGGAGGGTCGGAGCCCTGTACATTTTTGGGTTTCCCCTCATTTAACACACCTGATTCAGCTCCTTGTGCTAATTACCACACAGCTCTTGAGCTGAATCATTTATGGTGATTATGGTATGGTCATTTTCTCATCATCCAGAATTTCCTGAGTACGAATGTTGTGTTTAATCAAAAGCAAAGATAAAAATCTTTCTTCAGTCTGCCCTCCTATTCAGGCTTTTTTGGCTACATGCCCTGTGGATGAAGGAGTACGGATGAGCGAGTCATTTTAAACCTTGACCTTTGTCGGCTGAGGCAACATCCCTCTGGGAACCCTGGGTCACAGGTCTCTGTCACGCAGTGTCCCCACATCACACACAAACACAGGAGCAGATTGCTGAAGGCGATGAGGTACGATCGCTTCTGTGACCAAGTGCGTCTGGTCAGACGAATGATCTTTTCCTTTGTTGTGCAAAGAAGAGCCGATCGGTCGGGCTAATTTGCTTTCTGACGCTTTAGACATTCTCAGCACCTGGAGATCCACATTTATTAAGTGGCAGTACAGTTTCATTGTAATGCTGATAAATTCTCTAAATAATTTATCTCAGGTTTCCTCGCCGAAAAGTGGAATTTGATTAGACCGCCACGGAGAGCCAGTACTGGATAAGTGGCTGGAAGATGGATGTATTGATGGATGGATGGATGGATGTATTAATGGATGGATGGATGGATGGATGGATGATTCCTTGAGGAAGAGCCTTGAGGCCTGGTTTCAAAGTGAAATACTCATCCCATTCTTCACTGAAAATTAACTCTATCAAGGTGCTTTCGATTCATAAATCCCGTTTTTTATTGTCTGAGGAGAATCTCCACCATGCGTACGCCCTCTGCTGGTTACAGCAGCGCTCCATTCTCTCTCCCCCCTCTATTGTCTACATTCCGGACTCCCCGTCTTGCTCCCTCATGAGCACATCTGCTGTGGAGAGCAGCAGGCCTGTCACCATGGAAACAAGCCCAACCCCCCCCCCCACACACACACACACACCCCCCGGTTCAGGCTTGCATTTGAAATGAAAGGCCTCCCCTACTTTCGCTACTGTTTCCAGCCGGAATCCTTAGGCCTTCGACATTCACCGAAAGGCGAGGTTTAAGACACCTCGCCGTGACAGGCAGCTGGGTCTATTATGCATAGGACGTGGAGGTTGTAGGGGGTGAGAGATGGTGGAAGCTCACTACTGTTAGTGCTTTTGATACAATAATATCAAGATTAGTGCTCTGATGTCACATGCCTTTCATCTTTTTATGCTATTGTGAGGCCTCTAGAAAATCACGTTCTTAAAAGGGTCAAGCAGCTGTTTTGCTAAGTACTGTAGTTCATGTGCTATAGTATATATACAGTACATATAAACCTTGATTTAGAGAGAAACTGATGTATTGGACAAAACGTCCTCAATCTAACTTTTCCTGAATTCCGGAATTATACTCTGCATATATCATTTTCCTTTTAATAGGGCATATCTGAAGGAAAAGATTACTTATACTACATGGGCTATTTACCATAAGGTCTGTATGCACTTAGAAGATCATATATTGTAGTACTGCATACATTTCAGTCTAACTATAGTTATTCACTGTTGAATCGGGATAATTATTATTATTACTGTGAATATGAAAGTGTTTCAAACATTCCACACTGTTTAACACTACTGAACAGGGATATCTTTATTTAGGCACACTGCTAAAGGTGAAAATCAAAGAGGAACATTTCATATGACAATTATCAGTAAATATTTTGTGGGAAAACTAAAGAGTGCTGAAACTGTATGCCTATAATTAAGCTGGCAGGATAAAATAAGGTGATGGTCATGTGACAGAGTATTTTTTATGTGATCTTTTATTCGGTGACTCACAAAAGTGAAAAACTTCTTATCCATGATCTGTTTAACTTCATTATCAGAAATCTTTACCTTTATTTTATAAGCTTTTTATTTCTACTCATCTATCTTCTTAACCTCATATCATGGTCACGAGGGGGTCTGGAGCCTATCCCAGGCAGCGTAGGGCACGAGGTACACACTGCATGGGATGCCAGTCCACCGCAGGGCACAGACAATGGCATTGCAGGCAATATAAAGATGCCAGTTAGCAAAACCCACATGACACTGGGAGAACATGGTGAACGAGTGAAGGTGAAACTCAGACCTACGGCCCCACGCGTGTGCCCGCGAAGCAGGGACGGAAAGAAAGGGGACCAACCCCCCCACCCACCCGGCCAGCACATTAATTTGTAGAGAACCCCCTCAGCAAATTTTACCGAGGGGGACCACCCTCCCCGCCACTAACTCAGTCATGCATTAAATTCATTTTGTTATGCAGCCTTGCGTCAATGTGTTCGCATTAGGGACCGGGACCACCGGATGTGAGTCAGTTTGGGCATATCTCAGTGTTGTAGCTGTCCATCACATACACATTACATTACACATTGCTGTAAGCATACTGCATGCACATCACATACACATTACTGTAAGCATACTGCAATACTCGTTACATTACACATTGCTGTTTATTAATAAATAAAATGCAAATCCTGCCCACAGTGAGTCTTACATACATGAGTAGTCTCAGGCTTTTGGATCTGCCGTTCCTTTGCATCAGATAAACTTTTACTAACACCTATAACCGCTAGTGAGTAGAAAGTAATGTTACAATGACTACAAAGGATGGAGTAAAGGTCAAAATGAATTAGTCCTGCAGTGTATGCTTTCAGAAGCCTGGTTTGTGATTGTGGATGATATGCCATTATGAATAAATGCAACAGAAACATTCATAAATTGAATATTGCAGTAATCTACCAATAACAAATTAGTTTTTTAACAAATCCTACTCAAAGCATGTGCCATCTCAGGCACTGTTTATTTATTTCATCGTTCTTGCTACAATAGACTGGGACCTATTTTGTCCCCCATGTTATAAAACAGAAATTTGCATATTTTAAGTAGATGTTTCACATTTCCGCTTATGAAACTTATTAAAATTGTGTTCACCAGTGCAAAAAGTTCAAACAGCGTTCTTTTAATTTATATTCGTGTTGCTTCATTCCCTGTCAATTGTGAAGTTGTAGAATGAGTTTTTAGAAGCAATTGGCCTTGTGGGGGGGTCTCGACAGCCTCCTTTCTTCAGCAGCCAGCCCTGGCAGGTCTAAGTCCTTCGTGGCAGATGGTGAAGGTGAGGACACTAGCCGGCCGTTTCCTTCTCAGGTCTGATTCATGTCACATCAGGTGCATCCTGACACCATGTTTCTTGGCCGAAACGGTGGAATCGTCTGGGCACTGACTCTTCCACATTTGGAAGGGTTACAACCTGGAATTAAAATGGGTTTTACATGAGATTTTTCACTGTTTACACAACATACTCCACACTTTGAAGGTACAAAATAATTTTGGTGGTTGAAGTTAGTTAAACTGAAGAAAACAATTGTTGAGAATCAGAATCACTTTATTAATCCCCGTGGGGAAATTCTCTTATGTTACAAAAAACTCCTGATGAAAATAAAGATTTAGGAAAGTTATGTACAGATAATAGAAGAGATTTAGATAGAACTATAGAACAATAAAGTAATTAAAATAAAAATAAAAAAAATAAAAAATTTAAAAATAACCAATAAAAATAAAACCAGTAGCAGCAATAATATTAACATTGGTATAAACATAATTTGCATAGTACTTGGGTTATAACAACAAACGTATACACTGTATATATGGTTATTTAAGGTGATTTTGCTTATGTTTATGGTTTGTAGTTTGAGTGATCAGATATGCGAGTAAAACGGTTTCTATTGCGATCGGCAGGAATGATTTCCTGTCTCTCTCAGTTGTGCAGCGTGGAAGTTATAGCCTGATGCTGAATGAGCTCCTGTGGATGTTCAGCATATAGTGGAGCAGGTGTGAAGGAAAGTCCAGTATTGTTCTTATTTTGGACAATGTTCTCCTCCCCAACACCTTACTGAAAGAGTCCAGTTCCACTCCCACAACTTGGCTGGCCTTCTTAATGATCTTGTTGAGTCTGTTGGTGTCCATGACCCTCAGGCTGCTGCCACAGCAGACAACAGCATACATGATGGCACTGACCATGCTGCTCTCATTCAGGACTACTGTCCCCTCCTGCTTTTGTCAATATTAGTTTGCATTCTGGACAAACAAGCAAACAGAGGATGCCATCTACCTCACCTCACACTCTGTTGTAAATCACCTTTGAACCAAGGGTGCCTATTTCAGAATGCTATTCTTCAGCTACACTTCTGCTTTCATTACAATCATCCCCAATAAACCAATAACCAAATGCTTCAGCATTTTCAGACAAGGGCTGGGCAAGGAAAAACCAAACCATCTTACGGGAATTGTCACTCAAAATAATACACCACATATAGCCAATACAACAATCATTTGGGTGTTTCTCAAAACAGTTTTTTAGTGGAAAATAATGATAATCCAAGCAAAAATAATAAAGTTACATCAGCTACACTGCTTGAACCCTTAATAAGTCAAGCTTTTGCTTATTATCATAATCTAGCTCTGTTCTTTGCACAATTTCAACAGAAATATCTTTAGGTTTAAATTCACAAAAACATGAGTAAGTTTTAAACCTGTACGGCTTTACTAAAACACAGAGGTGTACATAAGCTCAGTTAGTAATGGTAAAAATATATGGAATTATGCACTCACGTTTAATTTTCACAAAATAGGCTTATTTGACATGAGGTGTGGCCAAGCACTGCGGTAGCAGGTGCAGCGTCATGACGCCAAACGTCAAACGTAACACGTTCTGATTGTCGTTACGTCATGACGTTAATTCTGCTCGACAGGGATGTGAAGGGTGTACGTCGCGTATTATGGACGGGTGACGTTTTTCTTTTCGATCCGATACCAAATAATATCAAGGTTGGTATCCCGATGCCGATATTCGTTGGCGGCCCAAACCTTTTCGGGGCCTTAAACAAAAGTTGAATTAAACTTAGGGGGAATAATTCACCTCATATGCACTTTTGCACGTATCTATTGGCTATTTTATATGTACTCTTTACATTTTGAGTTGTGTCTCGTGTCTTGTCTCACCGCTCTGAGTTTTGCTAATTCAGTCTCGTGCTGCTGAAGTGTATAATAACAGCAGTAAAGAACTGGGTAAAATTTTGCAGAGGAGAGGGGGTGTCACCGGACCCCTGTAAGTCCCCCTTCCATCCTGTCTCCCCCGTTGTGGGCCGCCCTACCTGGTAGGAGTATATGTTCTGCTCGTTGTAATAATATGAGCATTTAAATTACAAGGAAACGAGAGAGAAATAAAAAGGGTGTAACGTAAACAATCCGCTAATCAGTGCACGACCGGGGGCGGTGTAGATGATATAACTTCACAACCGGTGGATAGAGGTTGCCAGCAGACGGATTTGCCGGATTTGTTCATGTGGGGTGGCAACTGGGTTGAGCCCATTGATTGGCCCCTGTTCAGCAGGTTTATTGGCAGTCAGTTTGAACACTAGATTAAAGCTTCCCTCGTTACTACGGATTTCTGATTGTGGGATACGCCCATATAGGAATACATATGGTTTTGGGACCGGTCAGCAGTGGCGGAGCCAGAAAATTTTCAGTGAGTTGGCCAGGATGGGACCAGAGATCATTTTGGGGTGGCACATACATGTAAATATGAATATAAGACATCTAGAAGATAGGAATATTTAAGGTACCTAAATGCTATAACTCTACATTGTGTATAATTCAGTGGTTCCCAGGTGTAGAAGCTAAGAATGTTTTGGGAGCCCCGTGGGATGGGTGTCAATTTCAGCAATTTCAGCATTAATTCAGCATGGCACTTAGCCTGAGATGTGGAAAAGTGTAGAGGTTGGGGGATGGTGCTGCCCAGAGAATAGACCTACACTGTTGTTTTTTCTGTTTATGACTTGATTGTTTTTAGATGGGTGTGTTCGTCAAAGCAAGTTTCCTCTTTTTCTGGCTGTATCCAGGACCACAGACAGAGGAGATGAAAAGCATTTCCTACCAGAGCAGTGTGAGCGTGAACTGAGGGCTTCTCAACAAAACCAGGGCAAGGCTGGCTACACGTAAAGCCCAAGCAGGTGAGTTCAGTTTTAGTTCCGTTATTTCATCACAGGTCATGGACATATTGAGTAGAGGGAACTTCAGCATCCATGACTGCATCCTCTTCAGAAGCCCATCCAGCCATGATGATGGGATTTTATTTGCCATTTTTATGAGGAAATTCTGTAGTTTTCACCTATCCAGTGTCTCCGCTGTGATGTACAGAGGTGAGAGTGAAGCTTGGGCTGATAGTTAGACTTTTGTTAGCCTTTTATCAAGTGCCCGTGGACCAGGTTGCGGCCTTCGGAGCCTTGCTGAAGGGCTCAACAGTGATAGGAGCTCTCTGTCAGCCACAGCATTGTAACCGACAACCTTCTGATAGAGTAGATTGAGTTCCCGGGTGCTTCAGGTCTTCATCTTAGCAACCTAGTTTGCACAGAGCTGAGAGGCTGATGCTGCAGAATAGATACATCAGGCTCAAAAACAGCTTTGTTGTTCCCTTTCTGCTCACAGGCGCCCCCCCCCCCCCCGCAGGGCTGGGGCCAGCTGAGGCATGGACCAGAAACCTGCAGTGCTAAGTGTGGCTGATGTGAAGGAGGAAGCGCAGGATGTTCTCGTATCGGATGTGGACGGGGCCGGGCACAGCAGCCCTGACAAGGTGACAAGAGCGCTGCTGGTGTGGGGTCTTCCTTGGTAGTACCCAGGCATCCGCATGAACCTTGACCTTTCTGATGTCATCTGAGATTTTACATATTGGTGAATCTCAATACTAAGAACGCAAAATCCATGCTTGTGGTAACGTTACTCAATGGATCCCCGTATAACAATGGGAATAGTCATACCAATTTTTCTCTAGAACATGAGGTGTTTCTCAGTACCATACTTGCGGTGTTGGCATGACAGGTCTTGCTACCTTGCCTTCTAAAAACAAACTTGCTACCTTGCCTTCTAAAAACTGATACTTCTTGAGTATCAGAATTGTAATTTGGCAATGGAAGATGACATCAGAACACCAGAACGGTCAAGGACATCCACCTTCTTTGTGTCCCTGCCTCCAGCCCATCGTAAGTCTGCTGTCATGTCACCTGTGCATTTTCCTTGTGGTACCTTCAGCAGTGAGCTGCATAGATGGATTAGCAGTGGAGAGAGCAGCAGCTTGAGGGCAGCTTGTGTTCAGTATCAGTCAGGAAAAAGGTCTCCTGTATGCTGCCGGGTAAAACCTCCGATAGACCAGGCACTGTCTCTGTGCGTGATGCTGAAACATGTCACTTTCAGTCCCATAGAATAGATGAAATCAGAAGAATTGTATTGACTCTGTTCTCGCTTCCTCAGAAAGCAGAGAGTATGGTGTGTCCTGTCTTTAATGGGGAGGTGAAAGAAGAAACGGTGCTGCAGGACGTGACTGAGGAGAAGCCGGCTGTCCCTCTTCAGGTGGATGATACTGAAGGCAGACGGAGGACGAGAAGAGGGAGTCTCAGACCTCCAAACCCAGGTGACTATAGGAAAATCTTCCAGCTTTCAGAAAATTCCACATGCTGCATCACAAAGATATACAATGCCATTTACGGTATATGTTACTGAATTCTTGGTCTCTTAGTCTTTGCTGTTATGGACTTTATTTCTCCTGAATCCATCGCTTTTGTTCCACTTACCTATTTCCAAACTAAAGTTTGCTCTTTTCCATGTCTTATTATTCAGTACAAGCTCTCGTACCAGGGAGGAGCGTGAACAAGTTCCCCTGTCCTCACTGTCCCTCGTCTTACACGGCACAGACTTACCTCTACAGACACATTAAGAAATCCCACCCAGAGAAGTCTGGCCCTGGCGCGTTACTGAAAGTTCACTGGTGCTCCCATTGTGGGAAGAGCTTCAGTCACTTAACAGACCTAAAGATGCACCAGCAAATTCACACAGGCGAAAAGCCCTACCAGTGCTCAGAGTGTGCAAAAAGTTTTAGCCATCTAGGTGACTTGAAGACACACCAACGAACTCACACTGGGGAAAAACCTTATCGCTGCTCAGAATGTGGAAAGAGTTTCAGTCAGTCAGGTAACTTAAGGGCACACCAGCGAACTCACACAGGGGAGAGGCCCTACCAGTGCTCCCAGTGTGACAAAAGCTTCAGTCATTTAGGAAACCTAAAGAAACACCAGTGGATTCATACAGGAGAGAGGCCCTACCAGTGCTCCCAATGTGGGACCAGCTTCAGTCGTTTAGGAGACCTAAACAAGCACCAGGGAACTCACAAAGGTGAGGAGCCCTACCAGTGCTCCCACTGTGGGAAGAGCTTCAATCAAGTACGAGTCCTAAAGGTGCACGAGCGAACTCACACTGGGGAGAAGCCATACCAGTGTTCCCAGTGTGAGAAGAGCTTCATTCAAGTAGGACTCCTAAAGATCCACCAGCGGGTTCACACAGGGGAGAGACCCTACCAGTGCTCCCAGTGTGGGACGAGTTTCAGTCATTTAGGAGCCCTAAAGACACACCAGCGGATTCACACAGGGGAGAGGCCCTACCAGTGCTCCCAGTGTGGGAAGAGCTTCAGCCAAATAGGAACCCTAAAGGCGCATGAGCGGACTCACACTGGGGAAAAGCCATACCAGTGCTCCCAGTGTGAAAAGAGCTTCAGTCAAGCAGGACGCCTAAAGATCCACCAGCGGATTCACACAGGGGAGAGGCCGTACCAGTGCTCCCAGTGTGGGAAGCGTTTCCGTCTCCTTGCTCACCTGAAGGCACACCAGTGGACTCACACAGAAGAGAAACCTTATCACTGCTCTAAGTGTGGTAAAAGTTTTGGTCGTTTAGAATATTTAAAGATTCATCAGCAGATCCACACAGGGGAGAAGGCCAACCGGCACTCCCAGTGTGGGAGGAGCTTAGGACAATCAGGGGAACTTAAGAGACGCAAGCGGTCTCTCGCAGAAGGGAAGCAGTGACAGTGTAGGGGGTCGGAGGGGCAGAGACAGCGTGCAGTGCTGTTCCAGGCTGCTGGAAGCTCTTCTCTGAATCGGAGGGTGTTTGCAGGCTGGTTGGGTTATGCTCAGAGTCCTGCAGGGGTATCTGAATGAGAGTAGTCGTGTTTATTATTGGGAAGACTGGGGTGTGACAGTAAAGTCCTAGTTACTAATAATAACTAGATCCGCAGTCAAATGCAGCTCTGGAAAAAATTTGAGACCAAAATTTTCGGTTTCACTCATTTCTCTATGGGTTTGCGCCTGTGTAAAATACACATTCTTTGCAAACTCCAGCCTGGGTCTTCCCTGCTTCTCATTGATGAAGGGCTACTTCCTTGCTTTATGGTTCTTTTGTCCTGCTTCTAGGAGCCTGATATGGACTTTTCCTAGCAGTGCACTTCACTTCATCCTCCGATTTATCAGGCACTGCAGGGTAACCTGACGTTCATCTCTGGCATTAGAAAGTTGCTTCTACTTGGCTAGCTTTTGGTTATTGCCAGTGTCTCCTGCTTCACCTTGTTCTTGTGTCCTGCTGTCTTAGAAACCGTGAGCCTGGAAGCAGCCTGCCTCGCAGTGTAGCCTTCTGCTAGCAGAACCAGGATTAAACTAGGATTTAAGAACATGTATTTGTTTAAAAATATAGAGTGGTCTCAATTTTTTCCAGCGCTGTATACCGGGGTCTAAGCAACCCTATATGGTGTGTATTGGATAAATCACGAAGCAAAAATATCTATCTGGACAAGGTGAATCGTCCCTTGTATGTCTGCATACTAGAGAGAAGTCAGACAGCCAACTGCAGGCCTGTGTGCATAACAAGTGGCACATGTTATATGTTTGTCCTATGAGGTCTTGTCTTTAGCTTAAGGTAAGGGTATTCCCCAGCTTATGAATGAGATTCATTCCCTAAGTCAGTCTTTAAGTCAAATTTATTGGTAAATCGGAACAATAACAATGCAGCACATAAAATAAAAATGATCTGCAGAAGAAGCCACAGGAGGAGGGGACACACCGGTATTAATTCGAGATGGACCAGCTGAAAGTGGCCAGAGTTAAATCTCTCACTGTGAACTAGTGTTGTTACAGTTTTTTAAATGTATTCATTATTTAGGTTTTTATTTTGTATTACTTTCAGGTTTCATTTAAGACACATTTTAGGTATTGTCATTTTTCAGTGTGGTTTTGTTTTTTTTAATTATTAGTTTGGAAGTATCGTCGTTTCAGTTAAAACCTGAGTAAATTTAGTTATGAGAGCTATTTATGTCTGATCTTTACAATATCCTGATAACTGCAGTTTCTGTTATGTTATATGCAGTCTGTTTCTTTATAATTTCTTTCTTTTATGGATGGACTACCTCAGTGTGTTTTACTTTACTTTCTTTTGTATATTGTTACAGCTGTATTTTATTCATCTCATTGGTTTGTATCGGCTTTGGAAGTCCCCGGCCTAATTCTGTTGTGTGTATTACAATGACATTGAATCCTTCGAGTTTTAAATCTTTAAATATTGGAATGTACCATGTTGAAGCAGTAATGCATAAATCAGGTATGCTATAGTTCATATTGAAACAAAGTTGTATATCATTTGTTGTCAGTCATCAGTAGTGATCACTTATTCTTCCCTGCCTTTAAGTAAGGACACAAATCTGGACACAGTCTGTTTCCTTACTGACTGGTGAGTGGTTTAAGAAAATATAGCTTCCTCTCTCCACAGAACTGCCCAGTGCCGCTCTGGTTTACTAACTAGCTTAGAAAGAGCACAAACAGATTGTAATATTTACAGTTGTGTTATCCATTGTTGCTACCTATTACAGTCATTCTTAATTTTATTTGTCATTTTATTCAATATTTTTTATTCACTTTATAAAATACTGTCCCTGTTTGCTAAGTACCTCTGCTATGCAGAGTGTTCTTGTCCATATTACTGCTTTTTTTCGTGAGAGTTCACTCACATACGTTATGTTCATTGTTTTTACTATTGCAATGAAAGTGTAAGAGTCGACCTTGTAACAGTTAACAACCACCAGGTGGCAGCACAGACCACCAAATAAGAATTTGTGTGACATCAAACTGAAAAAATTATTTGAGCAACATCAGTTTTTAACCAAACTTGGCACATTCTGTGGCATATGCTGAATGAGTTTATAAAAGTTGCTGCCGCTTGGAGAATCTGTTGGTCACTAACCGTCTCGTGTGAAATGACACTGTATGACCAAAGCAATTGCATCAAGCTTCCAGCATAAAAAGTAGGAAATGAAGAGATAATGGAGAAATTTTCCTAACGAGGATGCCGAGAATCATTTACATAAATTTTGTCTCCCTCAGTCAAAGTACCAATGACTAGGCAACAAAGGCATGTTTTGCATAATTAAAGGAAAAAACAAATGTGACAATGGACATATTATACACGACAAGATGCATCTCAATCCACACAAGAGGGAGACACAAAGTTCAAATATCTGAATCACTCTTATTATTATATTATAGTTATTATTACGCCCCTGATGGCCGATGTGCCATTTTTTGCATGACCCTAGATCTCTCTAGGATATACCTGTACATTTCAGACCGTTTGAACTGCAGAAACATTTGTGGACGATTCGGGGAAAAATAAAATAATAATCAGTACAAAAACAATAGGGATCCAGCAGCTTTGCTGCATGGACCCCAAACAATCATAAATGGACTAAATTGTGTGCTCTCTGCTACCATGTCTGGCCACATGTCTGTAGTGACACCATCTCCTGTGGGTTTCAGTTATTTTTCAGCCTGGTCTGCATTTCCTGGCTATACTGCCATAGATGCCATGGGGAGACTAACTTACAGAAGCTGTTTCTGCCTTTGCTGCAGTCGCACACACATTGCTCAATGCGCTGTGTCACGTCTCAAATGCGCTATAGCATGTTGGCTGTGTTTCCAGCAACATCCGAGTTCAGTATGACGGAGCCGACAGCCAGTCTTGGTCTTATCCAGTGAAGAGGGGGTGGTTGTGGGGCTCAGTGGCCTAAGCTTCCATGCTTGTCATCAGAAGGTCACCAGTTGAAGCCCCTGCCTCAGCAGAATAGCCAAATGTCCCTGGGCCCTTGAGGAAAGCCCTTAGCCCCCAGCTCCGGAGGTGCTGCATGCTAGCTGACCCTGCACTGTGACCCCAAGCTTGCTCTCAATCAATCAATCGATCAATCAATCTTTAATTATATAGCACTGTTTTAATCACATAATACCATGGCAGTTTACAAAGTGCTTTACAGATATTTAAAAGAAAGGAATTAAAATACAAAGAAAAAATTAAATAGAATCAATTTTAAAATATAATGATTATAATGCATGCATAAAATATTAACTGATTATTGTAGATTATATGCAATGTGGAAAGGATGCATTTTCAGCCTGGTTTTGAAAGTACTAAGACATCCAGTAGCTCTTCTGTCCCTGTGCCCCATGGGGGATTAAAGTATCGCCATTCCGTTCTGCTATTACTGTGAAATCACAAAGTTCCCACACTGCTGATTATGACTGACTGTAACCAGCATTAGCCATAACCAACTCACATGCCACAATTAGCATGAATTCTGTGCTGAACATCTATTTGTGAATTTGGGTTCCATCCATGTCAATTAATGTATTCGCTTCTCACATTGTACGTACCCACCTGAAAATGATGTGACCAAACTGTTCTAATACTTAGCCAAAATGACACGTTCTGATGAAATTCGGCTGCATACAATCAATTAAAAAATTATTGATTAATAAAAATTACAATCAATAAAAATTATTTTAAATTATTTATTAACATAAGTTTCCCTTTTCGGTGGGGCTCCTTACTGGAGCACTAGCATATAAAATATGACTAATCCATACCTCATTGATTTAAAAAAAAAAAAAAAAACTAATTTAATCAATTGATTGGTTGAACTGATAGTGAAATTTAACAAATATATGAAATAGCTGAGGTGCCCCTGAGGAGAGGTTTGAGAATCGGAGCAGCGTTCATCTAGCCATCCAAGAAACTTCAAGGAACTTTTTGGAGAACAGACATTGTTCCTGTAATGTTTTCATTGTGTTTCTCTTAATTGCCATATGTTTTAATGTGAAATTATGTTTTTTTTTTTGTTCTAAGCAAATACACACTTACTGCCCAGATAACTTTAAACTTACCATTTGACTGCCCAAGACTTCTGCACAGAACTGATTCCTCTCATCTCAGCTGAACTGCTTGTCAGCTCCTTCAGAGTTTCCACTGGCCTCTTGGCTGTGTCTCTAATGCCCTCATTACCCACTTCTGCAACTTTTATTGCACAGACTAATTATATGACTCCTGAAAATAGACCAGCTACACCAGAGCTTATCTGTGGGGGGGGGGGGGGGTTCACACCAGGGGGGAATACTTATGCAATCAAGACTTTTTTCAGATTGTCTCATATTAGTAAACCTTTGTGAAAACTTCATAGAATTTTGTCTTCCTGCTTCAGAGCATCATGGGTGTGTGTGTGTGGGGGGGATATATTAAAAGTAATGTATGACATGCTTGTACATATGAAGGGACTGTGTTCAATTGAACTAAATATCATTTTCCCCCTGGGATCAATAAAGTCCATCTTAATCTTAAACGATGATCTGAGACGGTTACTTCTGTTGTACCTTGCATAGAGGTAATAATAAGCACTGTAATTAGATTAAGTTGAAAGGTGATACAGGGTTTGGGGATTTTGTACTTTTTACAGTGATTTAGTAATTGTGCTTCAACAGGACATGACAAAGTAATGTAATGAAGTGCTGCAACTGTGTTTAAACAGTGTGGCCTTTACTCTCACTGTCTGGCGGCAAACCCCAGGAAAGGATTAATTACTTCAAGTCTGAAAATTGTGCCATTCCAGATCTTCAAAGCACAATGTTTCAAAGGTTTGTATTGAGCAGATAGTGTTGAATAACGCAATGATTTTGCAAATGCTCTACTTAACATGTTTAAAATATACATATTCTATAAGTAGCCATTAGCAAGATGCCCCGCCAGTTAATGTAAGAGCCATCAAATGGAGAATTTTATACAAGTCATCTATTGAAATTGAGGTCATATTTGATTGTACTTAAAGGCACGATTCAAATAAATATGAACCTCCTATCCTTAGACAAGACTAAATGTTGACACTTTTGAAATCCACTGTCTTGGAAATAAAGTCAGTTCTGTTTCACAAAACCCTTAATGTGACAAGCATTGCCCAGTAGCCAATCGCCTCTCCCACCACTGTGTTCCATGCTGATGTCTCAGAATACTAAGCAGATTAAATTACTCTGTTTACCATCCCTAATACCATGGCAGCAAATCCATTCACAGGCATCCCCCATTTGAGAGATCACACTCTGGGCACAGTACTATTTCAGGTAAGACTAATACATTTATTTCAGTAATAACCCAAAGTAGCAGCTGTGTTTCAGTCCTTTAACTTTCAATTCATAAGAATGCTATACTGTACAGAGAGACTGCAGTGCATGACTACACTAGGAGTACTTTATTTACAAAGAGCAAACAGAAATCATCTTGCACAAATTATACATAAGTTACTCAGACTACTCTAAACTGAAACCAGTCAAGAAGGTTATACAATTTAAAAATAAATCCTTTACTTACAGGTATGCAAAACCATAACCATGAGAAAACACAAGTGTCCATTTATAGACGCCAGGCTTTCGAACATGAAGGAGGACACTCATCTCCAACAAACCCTGGACCGCATCAACCACAGGTTCAAGGTCGTCTGTAGGTCATGGAGTCGGGAAAGAGACCTCTTAGTTGGGGAGCACAGGAAGTTACTTCACCTGCAGGCTTGTGAGCCGTATGCGTCCGTCGACAAAACCATGACGGAAATATCTACGATGAGAAATGGCCGTCTCTGCTTTCTGGATCTCACGGTTGCGAGGTCGGCATCACGTGACATGCTGACCTCCTGCAAGTCTTTACGGCGAGAGGGTGCTAGATCCCAGATGAGCCCACAGCGCTCTAAGTTGGCAAGGGTATGCACAAAGAGCCCATCAACCACCTATCTCCAAAGGCCAAGATCTATGGTGACCTTCTCCCAATCTACAGCCAGCTCAAGGCACCATGAGACAGATACCCAACTCCTCTCTATCATGCAACTGAGAGAAATGGCTACCATCGACAACATCTCCAGGAAGGAACTGGAGAGCCAGGAAGGACATGCAAGACTAGAGAAGGACAGACAGAGGCTGCTCCTGAGGAACGAACTGAGCCAGAGGATACAGTCCTTCTTAAAGAAGTTCGATCCACAGAAAGGGAGTCAACCCAAAGAACTCGAGGGGGTAAGTCAAACAAACAGTGGGTTACCCAGCATGGAGGACAGTCCTGAAAAACCTTGACAGTCTGTATGATGTTAATTCCATTTAAAATCAATTTGGGACAGATTAAGGGCAACTAACACTAAGAAACTAAGCACTCCTACAAACCTAACACAAAAAGTTTATTTTTCCCTTTTGCCAAGATACCCCCCAGTCTACTGCATTAAGACGGAAAACTGACCCTAGCTGTACATTTAAGGATTCTCTTAAGAGCTGGGATCAAGTCCATCACAGACACTAACACAATTCAGTAAATACCTGTGTTGACATTTTTAAATGCAAAACATAGACGTCATAAACTGCAAAGATCAAAGCGTGAGATACTGAAGCATGTTGAGTCCAAAGGGAGTCGTCCTCCTCCGACAAGCTCTCTTTGAGTTTGCGAAATACAGAGAAGGAGCCTGCAGCATTGCCAGCAGACGCATTGAGAAGCAGAAGAGCTTGCACTGGAACCCAGTTAGCAGATCCGCCTCTCTTTCTTCCAGGCCAGTAATGCTGTGTGCACTGGGGTTTGCTGAAGGAGAGACTGGCTTTCCTTCCACTGTGGAGACTCCAGCAAAGTCTTATCTGCACTCAGGTTAAAAAAAAAAAACAGATATGCATAACAAATGACAAATGTACTTCCGTATGTCCTTCCAGAAATACTGTTTTTCTAAGACAATTTCCCCAATGCCACTTGCTATTGCTGTGGATGCAGATATAGTTCTTTGAATGTGGAGATGATGCATGAAGTTGGTAATGTGAAATTCGCTTTTGCATGAAAATAAGTTTGTGTCCAGGGTGTAACCTATGTATCTTGACCATGTGCACTTAAAGATATTGTAGATATTGTGTATGGTATATTTGACTGTGAGTCTGACTGCATAAACATCTACTGCAAACAGCAGACATCTGAGTTTTCGATGATAATCACCGGTGTTAGCACAAAAAATAATGTATTTTACCCCACAGACTTATCAAAACAGGGTAATTTTCATTTCATAATCCAAGAGTCAATAAAAAAACAGGGTGATAGATTTACTATACCTTCAGATTCAAAGGTGACACGAGTGGGGAGGTACTGCGTCGGGTCACCATATTCCAGTGTGAGGAGAACCTCAGTTTCCTTCTGGCCTGGCACCGTGCACATGAGCACCACAATGCTGTAGAGGGAGTTAGTCTCCATCACCAGGACTGAGCCCTGGAGAAGCTCCTGAGGAAAGAGCAGAACACAGGAGAACCTCTGAAGGTCATGAAGTCCACTGAAACCAACATCACTCAACATTATAATGTCCGACAGACAGACAGACATAGAATTAATCACAAAGAAAATTGCACATTTACAATACTCAAATACACACATTTACATATTAATAAACAGTGACAGTACATGATTGACAAACAGGCATGACAAACTAAAAAAAAAAAAGAACACGAACACAGAGGAAAACGCAGAGCTTGGACAGAAACCACAGGAAGGGTTCTGGTACCTTGACCAGACGGACTTGCTCCTGTCGGCCCGCGAAGGCATTGAGGTGCTGGCTGAGTGTGACAAGGAAGGCCTTTATGTCCTCCTGGAGGTTCTGCTGTGCGAGCTTCTCCAGTGGGATGAAGGGCGGAACGTTGTGGCGACATATACGGATGGTGCGGGCCAGGTCCACCTCCAGGTTGTACGTCTCCAGGTAGCGGCCCTCGAAAGCCGTGGCCAACGAGAAACAGACCCCTTTGCCTCTGCGAGTCTCCACAACATCGTAGCCACCTGAAAGGAAGCATCGTTTCATTTGTGGCAGCTGTGTAGGATATGGGTTGTTCTATTCACAAGCTGCTTAGTTATTAATGTAGTTCAGTGTTTAATCATCAAGTGAGGTTTAGTTTAATCCAGCTGTGATCCATGTTTATTGGCCTAATTTGGTTCCCATTCAGGAAACAGATTCCACCTGGGACTGTAACATTCAGGTGACCAGAGTTAACATAAATATATGCATATGTAAGGAAACACCCATTCACTGGTCCAATAAAGAACAGAAACATTATTATGCACCAATGAGGTGATGGGCGCGCAGCAGGTCTTTGACTTGTGTCAACCTGGCCTTCAGCTGGAACAGCTGCAGGCTCTCCTCCCTGCTTTCTTCCTGAGGCTCGACATTTTCCTGGTCCACTACAGACGTGAGCTGCTGGAGCGACTGGAAGCAGCAAGGAAAACGAAACTCAACTCTGCGGACTCGCAGGTAGTGACAGTATGTGTCTGTGACAACGGGATCTCAAATAAATGAATTAATGAGTGAATGAATGATCAGACAGACAGATCGAATGATTAAGCTTAAGAAACTTTACGTTTGACACGAGAAAGCCCATGAATATGAAAGTTCTCACCACGGTAGTTTTCACTTTGGCTCTCAGCTGATCCCTTTGGGCCCTAAGCTTCTCTAATTTGGATCGCAGTTCCTCTACCCTGGTCTGCTGTTGCAGTGCCTCTTTCTGCCGTGTGGCCAGGAGGACCGACTCTTCCTCCAACATGCTCAGGTGCCTCAGCACACCTAAAAAATTAAAATAAAACGTAGGACTTTAATGTTGCTTCTACAATGCCACCCCTAATTTTTAAATAAACATTATTAATATTACCTTCTTTAAGAAACGCCCTTGCTTCCTCCATTATTTTGGCAACCAGGACAGTAAACCTGCTTGAAAAACATTTTAAAACTTACTTTAATATGAACGCATTATCTGTAACTGCATTTAAACACATACTTTAATGTGAATGCATTATTTGTAACAGTAACCAAGCACTGAAAGTTTAATTTTCTATGTCCACTCGATCAACCAGGCATTTTTATTAGATCTGGATACACACGAAAAGAAACAAACGCAATGCACTCGTGTAAATATTGTAATGTGAATGTTATATACTAACAAGAATGACAATATTCACTCATAAAAATAAAAACTGCATCCATACATACCCGTCACTGTACTGCGATCGAAACTGGCGCAATTCTTAAGACACCGCCCTGATTGGTTGGCATGACGTACGGACACGTTTCGCCGCCTCTAATTGGCTAAAACCCAACACACGTCTTAACTCGGCCAAACCCTCCAAAACAAACACAAGCAAGGCAATGTTGGTCGCTTTACAGCAATCGTCTAAATATAAGGATCCCATACCTTCTATAAAAGTATTTTTTATTGATATTTAAACCCACTGAAACGCTTGACTGATCTGTTCCTTGAGTTTGGCGGTTCAAAACGAGGGGCGGGAACACAGACGCACCCGGAAAAGCGATGAGACGACAGCCAATGAGACGTCGGGAAATGTATTACTCAAGCAAAATGAGCGGTTCGGCTCGCCGTGGTTCGGATACAATGACGCTCTAAATTGACGTAGGTTTCGGCAAAAGACTGGACGGTTTATTGGTTTTGTATTAATTCATTTACCATTCAGTTTATAAAGGTAGTTCTGGGTGACGTACAAGAGGTGTCGTCTTCAGATGATAGTTTTACAGGTTTGTAGGTTTTATAGGTTTGATCATTTTTGGCATTTCATTTTTGGTAAAAGTTTATTAGGTTCTTTTGGCAACCACTTTTATCCACAAAAATGTGTCTTGTTTTCCATCGTCTTTGTTCTTCTGCTAATGACTTCCAACAGAGTATCCTGGTCAAGGTCACAGTGGGGCCTGGAGCCTATCTGTGGTAGCTCATGGCACAAGGCTGTGGGACAATCTGGATGGGATGCTTCTCTTCCAGTCGCTTCAATGGTGTTTAAAATAGTCCGGGGGGGGGGGGGGGGCTTTCCCCCTCCCCTGTATATGTACATTTTATATATTTATGCCTATTTTGGGCCGGGGGGGGGAGTCTCAGTATTTTTAAGGGTTTGATGGTAACAGTCAGTCAACACCATAGAGAATGCAATGTCCAGTAAGTTAATGGGAAACACTGAATGCAGCACTGCAATGCACAGTGTTTTCCAATTTAAAGATTTGCCCTCACGTGTTTTGTTGGGGTGACGTTGCTCCAAGTCCAGCGTTGAATCTCTGCCTAGGTGTGCGGAGTTTGCATGTTCCCCCCTCGTCTTCATGGAGTTTTCTCAATTTTTTCCCCACAGTCTAAAAACATGCTAAGCTTAGCTGGAGTTGTCTGTAGGGTTGAATGCCCTGTGATGGGTTGATGCCCCGTCCTGGGTCGTTCCCCGCCTTGCACCCGTTACCTCTGGGTTAGGCTCCGGAAGCCTACAGAAGCCAAGCGGGTATGGAAAATGGATGGATGTATTTTGTTAAGGCAAATAAGGTACAAAGTAACACAGGAGCCTACAAATGGTTCCCTGCCCCTTGGCTGCAGTTGTACCTATTAATGCACTGCTTTAAGAATAACAATGTGTGTTAATCAGTCAACATATTACCCACCTGGCTATTAATAAACTGGTTATAATATTTTGATCTTTTTTTTCCCATAAAGTTTACGTATTTGCTGAAAAATGTAAGATGAAATTTTATAGAATAAGCTTTGTATTTTTAAGGAAGTATCTTTACTTCGTCCTTCCATCTTTCACTCCTTATCCTGGTCAGGATTGCAAAGAACACAGGTCTGGGGTACTTCCTGGAAAGGACAATGGGTGAATTGTGTCATGGGTATTTTATGTCAATTTCATATACAGTGCCCACAGAAAGTATTGGGATGTTTGCTTCATTCAGTAAAAATCTTGCAATTTTTAGGTTTTATAACAATCATTGTTTTATTCATTTGTTTACAAAAAATATTTATCACATTAGAAACAGCAGTGATTTTCAGTGAAACGTTTAAATCATAATAAATTGATTCCCAAACTATAGTTCTAAAAGAGCTGTTCTGGGTAAAAAAGTTAATTGACAAGCAGTCCCGTTGGGTGCTTTTTAATAAGTAAAATATTTGCAATAACAAAAACAAACATTTGTGTTTAGTATCCACTTGGATGCTAAAGAGTACAATTGCAATTAGCAAAAACAAGAAACAGGAACGTCTTAGTCGAGTGATGAGGAGGAACAAGATAAAGATGTACAATGAAATCTTATTTTATCAACAATTTTGTTGCTTAGCTTATCTAGAGCAGTTGAAACTTTAGTTTATACAGATGGGTAATTTTCAGGGGCAACTCATAATAAATATTATAACAGGGTTCATTCAGGGATTTGAACCAGCAGCATTCTAGGTCTAAGGCTAAATCTTCAGCGATCGCCCTATTTGGCTGTGCTTGTTGCAAAAAGATAGACTCTCTCTGCTGTAACAGGGCGCCATTCCTGTCTGGCACCATCACTGCAGAACGACAAACAAAAGCTCATTCAAATAATCCACACAGACATCAGTCAAATGCAAACTAATTCCTAATTTTAAATTTGATAATCAAATTGTTGATCCTGGAAACAAGGTGTTATGACCTGCAATGAACTAATTAAATGGAAATAAAATCTTGTTTTGTATTCTTATTTATGTTTTGTATTCTTATTAAGTTACACGCACATAGGAGAGCCAAGGTTGTAAATGTTAAAATATTGTACATCATTGGTTACAGCTTCAGAAAATGTGTCTTGGCTAAGGTTTATTAAAGATGTGATTAATGTGTATTTTAATATATTATGTTTTTGTATGTGGGAACCCATGGGTGCCATATAGGGCGGGAGTTAGGACGATTCCAAGGGCCCCTGAGTGACAAGGCCCCTAAAAAAATTCAGAGCGTAATTGTATTGGTCTGGGTTGGGGGCCCAATATGATATGCTTTCATGGGGCCAGAATCTCTAGCAGCGCCCCTGTGAGAACCTAATAAACTCGTACAATTTATGCCACTTACGCGTTTTACATGGTTATGACATCATTCAGTACAGTACTTTGCAGATCTTTCATTATGTTCAATTTGTTTTAGTGGTAATATGCAAAAAGTATATTTCTAGTTTATATTCATTTCATATCAATGCGATGAACTGCATGTGTTGGAAAATTACAAGAAAATGTCATGGGGGGTCCTTTCTATCTTTGCCAGATATTCCAGGAAGCACAGGTTGCAAATCAGAAATCCCCACTAGTGCTAAGACACTGCACACACACCACACACACACACACACACGACGTCAGAACCTGCAACCATACTGGATGAGGCCATGCCTTCCTCTTAACATAACTTTTTTAAAAACTGTCCTACAGTGCAAAGCCATCTTTACAGTTTTGTTGTTTTATAAGCTTGATGGATGTTCATCCATTCTCTAACCACTTATCCTGGTCAGGGTCAAGGAGGGGGGGGGGGGGTCTCGATCCTATCCCACTTATCCTGTCAGTGTTCCAAGCAAGACACAACCCTAACCAGTGTAATGCAAGATGAATGTAGACTCAAATCTCACTGGTCAATGTGTCGTCTTTCAGAGATTCATTGAAAGAATTCAACAACAACTGTCGTGTTCATTTGCCAGGACAAAGAGGGGCAATGGCCGGTTGTCATGGGGAATAAACAGTTTTTTTTCCTCTTCATATTTTAATATGGTACATTCTTTTTGCCAGTGGACTTCTGGCCAGAAAATGTATTTGCTATTCAAATACAGGCTTAGATACAAATATGCTGTTCACTCCAACAGATGAGCCAACGTTATGCTCCCTATGCAAATATAAAAGAACACTTTGGAATTCTTATTTGCCATTTCATTATTTGCCCTTCAGGAGCATTGTCGTCTCCACTCTGTCCAGGAAACTTGTGCCCTGTGGTCTTTTCCCCTCAGCTTGAATGGGTGGATTGCCATCTTATTCAATTTTTGGGCCAGTTTGACAAACTAAAGAGCATCAAAAAGAGAGAGGTAGGTGCTTTCTTAACAGGCTTTTTTTCCCTCCTAAAATGACAGCGGGGATACAGTGACAAATATGATGTTTTTCATATAAACATCCTGCCCAGTTAAAACTGTCCATCTGACTTTTCGCAAGAAAGAATTCTACTCATCAACCCCAAACAACAGTAGGAAGTGGTATGTAAAAACTAATTAAATTTCATGTTTCCTCACATTCAAAGCAATGTAAAACTAAAAATATTATCTAAATATTATGTAATGTAAATTTATAAGCATATATTCTATGACAAATATCTTTAACCAAAGAAGACTTACCATTGTATTATTCATAATAGGCCTTTTAGCAAAGTTTGATTTTTGGCTTTTATACATCCCATTGAATAAATAATTTACAAATGTTGTCATTTGCCCAAATTTTAGCCTATAGCACATATATTACATCTATATTCTTCTGGAAGGTTTCATTAATGTTATAGTTCATTTTAACAATGATCATTGTCCTTCTTCCAGATTCGGAATGTGGCTTTGGCCAATAATGACTCTTTATGCCTTGGGAATGTTTCCCAGCCAGGTCAGTGTCTAATGTAATGTATAAAATAAACCGGTGTCGTAGTACAAAGATAGATTCTGTGAAAGTCGTTACAAAACAACGGATAGTGTTTAATATTTGTTGTTCTATTGTTGGAATGCAGCTGAAGCAAATCTTCATTTTTGTTATCTGTACAGGCTACATCTTCAACAGGTACGTGTTTTTTTCTTCCATGAGTTGTAACGAATACGTACTTATAGTTAAAATTCTGTCGACTTTTGGATGCTAACAAATTAACATGTTTTGTTCATTCCAATACTGCTATTCATCATGATTGTTTCAACCTCTTCAACATTTTTCCTTTGTTGTACAAGCAGGATAAGCCTTTAGTCTCTGATAATATGTACGAATCATGTTTTTCATTACTCCTTGTATTAAAATATATATTCTACGTGGCAATGTAATACTGTTAATATTGCCATGCACTCTGTTTTATCTTCTACTCTACTCTACTCTACTCTACTCTACTCTACTCTACTCTACTCTAACCACATAATTGTATAGGTAGCAGTAATATCAAATGTTTTTGTACAGGAAATGTTATTACAGGAACCAGCTTTACACACAGTCAGACCAAAAGATGGTATAAAACAATAATCTGCATTTGAACTAACAAGCTTGTTTATCTGTTTATTTGTTTGTTTATGGATTTCAAAGGAGTCCTTCTACTTTTAAGGTTGCTGTTTCTGTTATAAGTATCATAGCCTTTATTTCTAAATTCAAAGTACAGTTTCTTGTTAGGACAGCTGCTTGCATAAAGATTTACATATTTTATGCACTGGTACGTGCTGAGGTCTCCTGCTTTGCATTAATTTGCAGTACAAATATTTTTATATTTCCACTAGATGATGCGACCTTGCCAAAAACAGTGTGCAAGTGAGACTTTCACAAATTGTGGGTCAAGTATCACAATAGGAACTTAACTAGTGTTTCTCACAAACACAAGCACACAGGTATACATGTGTCATAACAGTGTTTCCCTGTCCGATCATCGGAGACCCCCAGACAGTCCATGTCTGGGGGTCTCCAAGGGCCGGATGGGAAGCACTGTGTTACAAATAGGGGCTTTGCAGGGATCTTAAGACATCTGGGACTTCGCCCTGATTCTCAAACAGAGAACATGGTTGTTAAACCACCAAATCAGTCTAGTTATTGCTTGGGAAAATGTACTTGAAACATTAACATTACATATGTCAGGATTCTCCAACTCTGGACCTCGATTACAAATCCAGGCCTTGTTTTCAGTTCCCCCAGGTAGTTAGTTTAATAATTACTGATTCTGATTGGTCAGAGGCTTCACACCTGACTGACAGGTAAAGGAAGGCTGGAAAACCAGCAGTGCTCGGACATCGAGGACCGTGAGTTGAATAACCCTGTCATATGTAATGTTAATGTTTTAAGTACATTTTCCCAAGCAATAACTAGACTTAGGGTGACCAGATAATCAGTGTCAGGGTGGACACTTTGAGCTACTTCTGGTTTTACAAACTCATTTAAAACTGAAAGGCTCCTGTGTTACGCTAAAAAATTTAATTCTTCTTGTGCTTTGACTGGTTTCACATTAACATTAGCAACACATGAATGATTATCAAAAGTCAAAAGTCAAAAAGTCTTTATTGTCAAGTCTACCATACATACCGGGCACATGGGGGATTGAAATTTCAGACCCCATGGTGAGTGCACTAACAACGACAAGCAAGACACAAGCAAGAGAGACACAAGTTCCAAAAATTAAATCTGGACTGAAGAGGCTGTAAGAGGGCTGGGTGGGGTCTCCCACAATGCTGCCTGCTTTGCGGGTTTGGCGGGTGTAAGAGGGCTGGGTGGGGTCTCCCACAATGCTGCCTGCTTTGCGGGTTTGGCGGCTGTAAGATGGGTGGGTGGGTTCTCCCACAATGCTGCCTGCTTTGCGGGTTTGGCGGGTGTAAGAGGGCTGGGTGGGGTCTCCCACAATGCTGACGGCTTAGGTGGATGTTGTAGGTGTCCAGGAGGGAGGGCAGTGGGGTTCCAATGATCTTTGCTGCTGCGTTCACTATGTGCTGTAGGGTTTTGGCGGTGCAGCTTCCAAACCACACTGTGATACAGTTTGTCAGGATACTTCCAGTGGTGCCTTGATAGAAGGCAGCCATAATCAGTACCGGGGCACTAGCTCTCTTTAGTTTGCAGAGGAAGTAGAGGTGTTGTTGGGGGGGGCTTTCTTTGCAAGTGATGCAGTGTTCTTTGACCAGGAGAGATCCTCTGAGTTGTGCACCCCCAATAATTTTGTGCTGCTCACCCTTTCCACTGTAGTACCATTTATGGCCAGCAGGTGTTAGGTGTGTGGACTGCTGAAATCCATGATGACCTCTTTTGTTTCGTCCACATTTAACAGGAGATTGTTGTTGTTGCCCCATGTGGCCAGCTGCTTCACCTCATTCCTGTAGTTAGTTTCGTCATCGTCGTTGAGATCCACCATTATGGTGTCGTCCGCAAACTGACCAATAGGAAACTGACCAATCAGCAAATAGCAAGAACTGAGTGCTTACATGAAATCCAAGTCCTTTTAATTGAAGTAGCAGTTTACAAACCCTGTCCTAGCTCAACGTGTCCTCCCTGACAGGGATTATCAGGTCACCATAGCTAGATCATATGTCTTACCTTATATATCACAGACATTTCGAAGGGTATGTGCTAAAACAGGGGAGGGTAGCGAAGGGGGTGGGGTCTCCTTACTAAATTTTGCTAACCGTCAGGGTCCCTTTCATTAAGTTGTGTGTGATTATCTTGGTCGATTGAAAAGAGCCACTTAGAGCCTCAAACCTTTGTTAGGACAAAGGCCTCCATCCCCTGCTCATGCCTGTTATTCATCACCTACATTATTGTAGAGGTGGCAAACCAACATCATTTACATTTGTGTTATTACTTTAATCAGCCTTTGTAGTAGTAGAATGAGAAAACTATGGAGTGCTGCTTTACACAATTGATGGCATTTTAAAAGAGAATTACATAATACATAATTACAACCTCTGCTTTCTTTACTTTTGTTAATTACATAACCACATAATTTTTATGAACATACTTCAGATGGGGAAATTGTATGCTTTATTTCTTCATAATAATTATAAGATTTTTAATAGTTAAAAATCAGTTTTGATAAACTGAATATCCAGTGTATATTTCCATATTTTTTATAAAGAAATTATCTCTCTCTTTTTTTTTTTTTACAAATATAGGAATCATGATGCTGTTATAGTAAAAGTTTTTGCGTCTGGCAACATTGGGACCAAGACACTGCTGGATAGTTGAATTTTTCTTTTTATACTGATATTTTAGAAGTCTGCCACTGACTTGAATGCTGGATAGGAGAGCTTTTACTGTGTCAGATTAGCAAAGTGTGCTTACAGGTCTTATTACTCTGCCGGATTAGCATAATGTGCTTACAGGTCTTATTACTCTGCCGGATTAGCATAGTATGCTTACAGGTCTTATTACTCTGCCAGATTAGCATAGTATGCTTACAGGTCTTATAAACCGGGACAGAAAAATTAATTGAAATTAAATATACTAACATTGGAAATCAAGTCAGCAACGTAAAGCTTTGGGTATTCATGGTAGGGAATTTCGATTATAACGGACCAATAGTTTGGCCCCCAGGGCCGCTTTTACTTGTAGTTTTGTTCGGCTATAACGAACATGAGCATCAATAGTAATTTTCAAAATGGCTGAGAAGTCTGCTACGAAGCGTCGTTCTATAACATTAGATTTAAAACGCGAAATCGTTCTTTTAATCGAAACAAAAAAGAAAACACGAGCGGATATTGTACGTGACTATGGTATACGTAAATCTACGGTCAGTGACATCTGGAGTAACTGTGAGAAGTACAAGACTTCTTTGCAGTTTGCAGATGGCAGCAAGAAAATGCGCAAATCCACCTATGACGATGTTGAAGATGCGCTTTTTCTTTGGTTGAAGCAAGCATGTTCACTTGGTGCGCCAGTCTCCGGTCCAATTCTGAAAAACAAGGCGGGCAATCTTGCTGTTGAACTTGGTTACGATGACTTTAAATGTAGTGATGTATGACTGGATCGGTTCAAGAAGCGCAGAGCTGTTACCTTTCGCTTCCTGAGTGGCAAGTCGGAGTCTGTACCAGAAGAACTTGCTGCAGACTGGCTACAGACCAAACTGCCACGGCTGCTGGTCCAATATGACGAATGCAACGTCTTCAACTCTTTTTGCCACCAAACTGTACTAGTCAACTTCAGCCATGTGACATGGGCATCATACAGAACTTCAAAGTTCTGTACAGAAAGCGAATTCTGCAGAATCTTATAACCATTGAAAACAGTGACGTGGACAACTTTGCCATAGACATACTGCAGTGCCTGCGATAGGCTCGGTCAGTCTGGGAGAATGAAATCACAGTGACAACGATCCACAATTGTTTCAGGAAGGCGGGAATTGTCAAAAACGTTGTATCTGATATTTCTGCAGAGACAGAAGAAGATCGTTCACATCTACAATATTGTCTGGTCGTGACTGTGGTAACATTTTTCAACGGCTGATGGAATTGCATTTCTTGGACCAGACTACGTCTGCAGAAGAATTTCTTGTTATTCTTGTGTTGACCGATGAGGAGATTGCAGCAGAAGTCAAGGCAAAGTCTGCCGGTGTCGATGGTGCACAAATGGTGACAAATCCAGTGATGAGGAGGCTCCAGCTGAGCTTCCACCATCTACACGTGAAGCAAGCATAGCGTTGACACTGCTGCAGCGTTACATTGAACCTAACGCTAACGATGCTGTTGAAGCAGACGTTCTGATGAATTGCGTTGGGAAATTTGATGCGTATATCGCTAAAACCTATGAAAGAAATGCAGCCTAGAAGAAAATTATTTTTCTTCCCAGTAATTTGCATACAGTTCGACATAATGCTTTAGAATATCTTTTGGTGTAGGGTATTAGAATACCTCTTGTCATTTGCTATGTATTCGTTCACTACAGTAGTGAGAAAAGAAGATACGTGTGTTTGTGACATAAAATGATTTTTGTTGACTTGTAATAGGTGAAATACAGTAAATAAAGTTGGATTACTACCTTTCTGGGGTGTGGCATGAGTAAGTGGTGTCCTGTAGTTGTGTTCTGGGCAACTCTGGATATAATGGATTGTGTTGCCAGGTCCCTTGAAGTCCGTTATAAATGAATTTTACTGCATACTTGTTCGTCTTAGTTCTTTCCTTCTTTCTCTAACTTCAAACAACCTCGCTATATGCGTGTAAATGCTCTTGATGTCAGTAAGCTATTTCAATCTTGCAGGTGATTCAACACAAATGTATTATGCTGACCTTGAGGTGGACGAGGGAGCTTCGCAGAACATCACGGATCTTCTGCCTAAATTACTCCCATTTATCTTGGTGTTGAACAGCAGCAGCGCCACCGTTAATGTGACGTACTCCAACATCACAACAGGTAGTGCATGGGTGTAAATCGAAGGGGGGGGGGGGTTAACCCTCTCAATAATCAAAACCAGCCAATACAACCCATTGTTGGGATATATATGTCATGTTATTTTAATATTTCTTGTCCCTGTTCCTCCATAAATGGGTAGAGACCTCACACCCCTGTGGTTTAACCCAAAGGGCTTAGAAATACCCTTCAAACACCAACAACAAAAATGATATAAAATGAAAGTTGCTTCATATTATAAATGTGCTCCTTCGTCTCTCCATTGGACACGTGTCACAAACTGATCTGGTTTATATCAAAGCCCTTTTCCGGTCCCGATACAGTATTGTCATATTTTATGTGATTAGATCGTTTAAAGGTAAATGCATTTTCATTTGTAAACTCTGAGTTTAGAGTTTAAATTTGAAATGAACATATTGGTATGCGCAAAGTAACTGGTTTTCATAGCACAAGCTCACCACCATTTTCACTTTTTATGCTATATTTTTATTTTCTAACAGCATGTGACATTCGTGGAGAGAAATCCATTTGCCACTGTGATTCACAGTATGACTGGGACCCGTCAGTGTGTGATTTATATCCAGGGTGCTGCAATCAATATGAATGCATTTCAAATTCATCACTGGCCATCCCAGTATGTCTGCCTAAGTCGAGAGGTACATGTCTTTTAATATTACGGCACAGTTACTGTTTTTTGTTTGTGTTTTGAGATATACACTCACCTAAAGGATTATTAGGAACACCTGTTCGATTTCTCATTAATGCAATTATCTAATCAACCAATCACATGGCAGTTGCTTCAATGCATTTAGGGGTGTGGTCCTGGTCAAGACAATCTCTTGAACTCCAAACTGAATGTCAGAATGGGAAAGAAAGGTGATTTAAGCAATTTTGAGCGTGGCATGGTTGTTGGTGCCAGACGGGCCGGTCTGAGTATTTCACAATCTGCTCAGTTACTGGGATTTTCACGCACAACCATTTCTAGGGTTTACAAAGAATGGTGTGCAAAGGGAAAAACATCCAGTATGCGGCAGTCCTGTGGGCGAAAATGCCTTGTTGATGCTAGAGGTCAGAGGAGAATGGGCCGACTGATTCAAGCTGATAGAAGAGCAACTTTGACTGAAATAACCACTCGTTACAACCGAGGTATACAACAAAGCATTTGTGAAGCCACAACATGCAAAACCTTGAGGCGGATGGGCTACAACAGCAGAAGACCCCACCGGGTACCACTCATCTCCACTACAAATAGGAAAAAGAGGCTACAATTTGCACGAGCTCACCAAAATTGGACAGTTGAAGACTGTAAAAATGTTGCCTGGTCTGATGAGTCTCAATTTCTGTTGAGACATTCAAATGGTAGAGTCAGAATTTGGCATAAGCAGAATGAGAACATGGATCCATCATGCCTTCTTACCACTGTGCAGGCTGGTGGTGGTGGTGTAATGGTGTGGGGGATGTTTTCTTGGCACACTTTAGGCCCCTTAGTGCCAATTGGGCATCGTTTAAATGCCATGGCCTACCTGAGCATTGTTTCTGACCATGTCCATCCCTTTATGACCACCATGTACCCATCCTCTGATGGCTACTTCCAGCAGGATAATGCACCATGTCACAAAGCTCGAATCATTTCAAATTGGTTTCTTGAACATGACAATGAGTTCACTGTACTAAAATGGCCCCCACAGTCACCAGATCTCAACCCAATAGAGCATCTTTGGGAGGTGGTGGAACGGGAGCTTCGTGCCCTGGATGTGCATCCCACAAATCTCCATCAACTGCAAGATGCTATCCTATCAATATGGGCCAACATTTCTAAAGAATGCTTTCAGCACCTTGTTGAATCAATGCCATGTAGAATTAAGGCAGTTCTGAAGGCGAAAGGGGGTCAAACACCGTATTAGTATGGTGTTCCTAATAATCCTTTAGGTGAGTGTATTTTACTGCACCATCTTATGCATAGTAGTTCATTTCCTACTACTCTTTTGCTTTAATATTTTCTGTGTTGCTGTTCTGATAACAATTATTCAACATGTTTTTCACAGTTACTGTCACCGGATCACTTACTTTGGGACTGCAATTTACCCCTGACCTGAATAACCCAGCCACAACATACTATCAAACCATGGTGCAACAAGTGCAAACCAATGTAGGCAGTCGCCTGCCGTGTTAAAGCGTAATTACTGACCAGAGGTAGAGATTTCAGGTCCAGAGAGTACAAATCCAGGCCAAGATTTTGTTTCAACCAACCAGTTGACTATATAGAGTCACAGTCACAGAGTACTCAGCTGGTTGGCTGAAACAAAATCTTGGTCTGGATTTGTACTCTCTGGACCTGAAATCTCTACCTCTGTTAATGACCGGAGTGCTATCAGCTGCTTAGGGCAGGGGTGGGGAACCTGTTCCATGGGGGGCCGATGTGGGTGTGGGGTTTTGGGGTAGCCTCTCAATCAGCCAATAACAGTGGGTCCCCAGGACTGGAGCTGAGAACTACTGCTTTATTATTGGTTGATTGAGAGGTCATCCCAAAAACCCGCACCGGCCCTCCATGGAACAGGTTCCCCACCCCTGGCTTAGGCTAAAGAATGGTGCAGTGGTAGACTTGGCTGATAAGCTGAACATGTTATGGAACAGAAATAGGTCTAACCTATACTGTAATTGTAAAAAAAAAATGTTCAAGTTAAACATTTCCATTAACATGTTTAATGTAAAATTTTCATTTTAATTCTCTGCCTGCAAGAATGGCTGAATTTCATAATCAAATGACAAATTAATGTGCATAAAATATTGCCGTTTTCTCTTTTTCAGCTAAGCCAAATCTACAGTCAATGTAGCGGATTTGATTCCCTGACAATCATTGGCTTCAGGTAAAAATGCAAACAGATCGCGCAATCGCCGTGCGCCGGCATGATTAGCATTCACCTTTGTCTCATCTTGTGTCTGTGGAAAATGGTCTACAGGAGTGGAAGCGTCATCGTTGACTTTCAGATGATATTGAACGTCCCGCTGAATTCAGCCCAATTTGTGAATATGACGAGCACCTTGGAGTACAAGCTGAGTGGCAGCTTACAAGTCGCAACCATCGGTAATAATAATAATAGTGATTAATCATGGCATCTGGAGTGGACAGAATGATAGTAACAGAACAATATATCAGTATCAATGTCCTGATAAGGAGTAGGGCCACCATTTGCCTTCAGAACAGCTTTAGTCCTTGTTAAACTACTATTCAAAAGTTTCGAGCCTGTCCCAGAAGCAATGGGCATGAGGCAGGGAACAACCCTGGACAGGGGGCCAGCCCATCACAGGGCACTCTCATACCTATGAGCAATTTAGTAACTCTAATCAACCTCAGCATGTCTTTGGACTGTCGGGGGGAAACCAGAGTGCCCGGAGAAAACCCCACGACGACACGGGGAGAACATGCAAACTCCACACACATGTAACCCAGGCAGACACTTGAACCCAGGTCCCAGAGGTGTGAGGCAACAGTGCTAACCACTGCACCACCATGCCGCCCCCGAGCTAACCACATACCGCTAATTGGTATTCAACCTTGTTAAGTTTTAATGGTGGGGTGTTATATACAATATATTAAGTTATTGTCATAGGAAATTTGAACAATAAGAAAATGAGAGGCTTTGATTAACTGTCGATAAGGAGTGTTGTTTTATGGCACATATCAGTCTATCACTTCCAGCATTTCCAACCAACCATATGGTGGTGTTTTAAGGATGGTCAACCATCAAATACCCAACAAAGTTGATTGAGATAGAGAAGCGTACCACGTGCTCCAGTTTTGGTAATTTGCTTGAGATATGGAAGAGATGCATGCTATCCGTATCGTGTCCAGGATCGGACCAAAATGGGGCATTTTTAAAACATGGACATTAAGACATAGACAAAGAACTACAGTTTACTACTAAATTGATGGGGAAAGATTTTGCAAATTGACATCTAAGTGTAATGTGCAATAAATTAATGAGTAGTGTCAGAGTTATGTTTCACAGCTAGAAGTCAGACCATGCGGGTAAAAATGCATTTATTTGCTTTCACATTTCCAGTTTTCTGAGTAATTCTACAAATCGTAAAGGTTAGGCGTCGTAAGGAGACTAGGGATTAGATGGGGGGTGATGGGACCGCCTGGGGAGTGTATTGTCATTCTGACAGCATCTCTGCTTGTTGTGATTTAGTTTCTTTGAAGACCCGCCCCTTTCTGCTGCCTATTTCTCTGATTTTGACCACCTCTCATACCTTCCTTGTTGCTGTATTTTTGCAGGAATGGTTACAGGTCAAGCACCACAGGGACCGTTATGTTATAATACGAGCTACACTTTGGGGTGTGACTTAGGTGATACGACCTTTGGTAATTGCTATTGGACGTTGACTCAAGGAAACAACACTGTGAATATTGTAACTGGGACTGAGGTGACTCTCGGTTTCCCCTGTAGTCTTACTCTTCTGAAAACATCCAAACTTTGGAAAGGTCTGTATGAGGTGGTTTCTTACAATATCTTTATGAAAATAAATATAAATAATAAAAGGTACCCACCTGACACTGCAAAGTCAAAAATTATTCAAAATGTTATATAATTCCTGTCTTGTGTGCTATTAATATTTGCATGAAAAATGGTACTTTCTCTATTTCTCTCAAGGTAATTACACATGCAGTTTTTCCAAGGGTTCCCTTACTCACAAAGCCATCATAGATGTGGACATAGCATTGCTACCAGAGGAAATTCAAATATCCAGCAGTCCTCAGTACCCGGATTGCTCCACCAACCCTAACCCTATATTGGTCCCCGTTTCCTGTGCCATACAGAATAGCAGCGAAAATTACAATGTAACTTGGAATACCACTGGATGTGACATTACAAAAAATTATCCCGATGTGGTGAACACATTATTTAACCTCCGCATATCTAACGTGACAGTGAACATCAATTGTAGCAATCTTTCTCTTGTGGATCCCACAGTCACCTGCACATATACAAATAGAAAAAGCCAAGTAAAAAATGCCACAGTCACAATACCTGTCATTTACAGTAAGTTCATTATTATTATTATTATTATTATTATTATTATTATTATTATTACAAGCTGGCATACTGTTTGCTTCTATGCTTACACAGAAAACGCATGAGCGTTAATATGTTGGATGTATAACGCTTGTCAGTGTTAATATGAACTTGAATTATGCTGCACTATAGCAGAAATGTCTAGACTCTTAATTAGAGTGCATTTGAAGTGGCGTTAGAGCATTCGGTAAGTTACATTTTTGGGTATACCATGACAGACTGTAATGAAAGCTGACTGACTGCTGCGTATCAGTTGGTATGATGGCTGTAATCATTGATCTAATGAACTCGGTGTGTCTTCAATCACCTGCCTGAAAGGATGTTTTTCTTTCTCACTCTTTTCCTTTTTTAAATCAGAGGGTACCACTGTTTGTAAACCCGAAGCCCCCTGGTCTAAAGCAAAGTACAACACCACTGCCACACTGCCGTGCCCCGCAAGCATCCCAGCAGTTGGAAGCTTGACGCGGAATTGCTCTGGAACTGGTGATTGGGGTCAAAACCAGTCGACTTGTGTTAATCTGCAACTGTACAGTATTCTCCAAGATGCTTTGGTAAATATTACTTTTTGCATAAGATTGGGAAAATTAGCAATATACTGTACAACCTGGATTTTTTTTTTTTAAAGAAAAAATATCTATAATTAATGATTGTTTTGAAACAGCTTCAAAGCAGCTAACATTTGATCACATTAAGGAAATTATTCAATATTTTGCATAATAGAGTATGGAATAGTCTCCCTGCTAGTGTAGCGGAAGCTAAAACCATGGGTTCCTTTAAATCAGAGCTAGATAAGATTTTAACAACTCTGAGCTATTAGTTAAGTTCTCCCCAAACGAGCTTGATGGGCCAAATGGCCTCCTCTCATTTGTAAATTTCTTATGTTCTTATAATGTTTTAATTATGTTTTTATTTCAGAACTTACAAAAAGGATATGGGGACTTTGTTACGGGTGCCTTCAACATTTTTGGTTCTTTAAAAAATTCTACTGGCAATAGTAGCGCTATCAATACGCATCAAAACATTAATGCATCTGTAAATATTCTATCAATCGTGGGGAATGCTACATCACCAAATGTAACGTTAAATGACTCCATCTTGCCTGTGAGTATTTCTTTTTGTAATCTTAAATTGTCCTGTAGTACAAAATCGAGTATCACTATGTAATCGTTTTAGGGCATAGTCTTTCCACATCATTCTCTGATAATAAAAAAGCTACATTTTAAATATAAGAATACATTTTATTGTCTGATAGTGTTGTTTTACATGTAAGAATGTCTTTGATACATGTAATGAAAAAAATAACTGGATAAAATATTCAGAAATTGATTAATTTAATGAAACCGTGAATCAGAAAGCTTTGAAACGCATTGAGTATTTTGTAACACTTTACTTAAGGCCATGTTTCTAGTAATTCATAAACACATTCATAACACATTATAATGCATCCATAAAGCATTATAAACATGCCTATAAATATTCATAAAATGGCATAACATCTTTATGGCCATGTTTGTTATGCATTATGAATGCTTTATGAAGCTGTCATCTATAATGCACTATAGATAACTTTATACAGTACAAAGCATCCTTAATTTTTATACCGACAATTATAATGCATTATGAAGGTATCTATAATGCATTATAGTTGAGAGGTTCATAAAGCATTCATAATGCATAATAAACATGGCTTTCTCATATTTTTCATATTCAGAAATATTTTAGTATATGTTCTCAATAACAGTTTTCTCTTATAGACTTTGCTGTCTTCTGCAAGCAATTTGTTGGAAGAATCCCTGCATGACGCATGGACTCCGAAGAATAGGAATAACGTGTATGAGTACCTATCTGTTCTGTACCTGTGGTCCATGGAAAAGCTAATACAAACTGTAGAACTCAATTCATCTTCCACTAGCAGCGATAACTACCACCCAAACGTCCAACTCACAAGCTTCAGTGGTAATCAGACAAATTGTAACAATATCGTGTTCAACGTATCAGTCAGCACACCGGGCCAAACCAGTGGAAGTGTAAACATAATTGGGTACAGAACTCTGGTTAACCTCCTGCCCAGTATTCCCAATATGAATTTAAATAGCATTGTAATGTCAACAGTGATGCAAAACAGTAGCCTGGCAAAGGAGATCGCTATCAATTTCTCATTGATCAATGAAAGGCCACCGGATTATGAGATGCTTTGTGTTTTTTGGAATTTTTCTACCATGACGTGGTCGGATGAAGGCTGTTATTGGAACAAAACAAGTTCAAATGAACAGATGATTTGTATATGCAACCATCTCACTTCATTCTCAACGCTCATGTCAAAATCACCAATAGAACTTCCATACCTGGATCAAATAACCTACGTCGGTTTGGCCGCCTCAGTCTCTTCCCTGATTGTCTGTCTTGTAATAGAATTTATGGTATGGAACACAGTTGTCAAGTCAAACGTCTCTCATTTCCGTCACACCGCCCTGGTCAACATCTCGTTGTGTCTGCTAATGGGAGACACTGTCTTCTTGGTCAATTCCTTTTACCAAAGCCCAAAGTGGTGTGGCACTTTCACGGTTATTAAGCACTTCTGCTACCTGTCGATGTTTTTTTGGATGCTCTGTTTAAGCACCATGCTTCTTCATCAGCTCATTTTTGTCTTTCACCAAATGAGAAAGAAGGTCTACCTGACTATTTCTATTTCCATAGGCTATGTCTGCCCTTTGATAATAGTCTTGCTGACCTACAAGATCTACAACGATGGAGCTGAAGATGTCTATTATAATGCCAAGAGTTGTTGGTTGAACTATAAAAGTCCATTTAATGGTTCAATCCATGCTTTTATTTTCCCGGTTTTAACAATAGTTTTAATTAACTTCTTTTCTATGATGGTGGTCATTACCAAACTCCTGAGACCACAAGTGTCAGAGGGTAGCAAAGGAGATCAGAAGGAGATGGCCAAAAGCATTCTGAAAGCCATCGTTTTCTTAACACCTGTTTTTGGAATAACTTGGATTTTGGGGTTTTTTGTACTGGTCTTTGACCTCACAGAAGGATTTTGGGCATATTTTGTCAACTACGCTTTTACCATAATAAATTCGTTACAGGTATGTTCAGGGTGTTTTTTTGTGATTTGTCACAAAGTATGTTTTTCTGTGTGATTCTACAGCAGGATGTAATTTATACTTTCTCATTTTCATTCAGGGAGTTTTAATTTTGCTTACTGGATGTTTTGGAGAGAAAAAGGTAATTAACAAAATTAATTATTTTAAATATTGTCCATTTTGCTTCTACAAAGCAAGAAGACTATAATACGGAGCCTCTGAAAGGACCCGTCCAAAAAAATAAAACTATCTTACTTTCGCGTACGCACAACTTACTTTCGCGTACTCACAATTTACTTTCGCACGCGAGGTACTTTCGCGTAAGACCATTTGACATTTTTGCACAGGTCCCTTCAGGGGCTCCGTACTAGAATTACCTTCAAGTATGTTTATTATCATTAAACCATTACCATATAACAGTGATATTAAATAAATACTGTTTCAAGAACCTTTTTCTCTTGAAAAATAGGTTCGAGATGCCCTACTACAGCGTTTCATCTCACCGGTAGGTTAATGTTCAGCATTTAAAAGGCTCATCTCAAATGTCATATTTTCAGGCTTATAAATAGTCTCTCTCTTTTTCAGACAACAAACCCGTCGAAAAATGAGAACTCTACAAAAGGGTCATCAATTAAAAAATAAATGTTCTTCACTTTCAGAAAGGTAGAATGGCTTTCCCTTTTAAAAACTTTTTCATGGGCATTTATAATATTTACTGTAAAATTTGCCTTCATAAGTAACTGTAATATTGTTTACTCTTCTAGACTGCAGTGAGGATTTACAAATAACAGCGCCAAGACATACATCAAATTAGATATAGATTAGATGAAAACAATTCAGTTGTGTTTATTTTAAAATACTCATCGTTTTGTATAAACAGACATTAACTGCCTTACATTATAATTTTATGAAAACCTGTATCTTACACAGAGCAATATAGCCGAGTTTTCTTTATGTGGGTCATATCATCATATAAATATATAAGGATTTACGTGACTTTGGGAAATTACAAAGTATATTTCCCATTTAAATTTTGTTTCAGAATTAATTTTGTGTAATTTTGATTAATTTGCCTCTTTTTGTGAGCATTTCAGAATGATAAAAGAATTAAAATATATAGCATTGTTCTTGACAATCTGTACACTGTGAAATGCTTTTTAAATGGTCTGTTAAGGTAATGTAACAGCATTCAAAACTTTTATATGGTTGCTGACGAAATATGCTGGAAATCTACTTACTGGAAACTGTTGGAGTAAATATGTAAATATACAGCTTTGTTGATTTGAAATTACGTGACAGTAAGTTAGTTTCCAACTATATGCTTATAAATTAGAAAAAAAAACTGTTGTACAAATGATTATATAAATAAAGCAAAATATCTATTGTTTATTGTAGTTGTTTTGGAATTCACCTGTTTATTACTGTACAACAACAGCAGGAAAACATTTTTTTATGTTTTGTTATTTTAATTCATCCATCCATCCATCCATCCATTTTCTAAACTGCTTATCCAATTGAAATATATTTAATTATGCATTTTCCCAATGTTACATTGTTTCAAAGCACTTTACATTATCCCTGTGGCAGGAAAAAACTCCCTAGAAGGAAGAAACCTGACTCAAAGGGGGAGCCCATCCTCCAGGGGCCGGCAGAGGAAGTCCTAAATAGTGAAGTCCCAGTTTATAACTTAAAGCTGTGTGTAGGTTCTTATGTTCTTATTGAAGCTTAACTTGACGCTCCAAAGATTCTCCCGTCCCAATCCACTCCATAAACACTCCAGGAAACTGCTTCGCAAAACTTTAACTGTTTACTTACAGTCTTTGTAACAATATTACAAACATAAAAGTTTATCCACAAAAAATATATAGAAAATTCAAGAGCAGTCTTACCAGGAGGTCAAAAAACTATTTAGCGCCAATCTGATCTCTCTCTCTCCTACTACCTATCCCCACACCCCTTATCATAATAAAAGCACCCCAATAGTGTCCATCAGAACTACATTAAAAGTCCTGTTTTTAAACATTACAAGGTCGATCAAATAAATCTTAACATTTTTAAATCATATTTGTAAAACTAATGAACTTGAGCCAATATTATTTTACTGTTAACTACTCAAACTCATTTAAACTGCATTTAGGCTCCTACACTGTGTATAGTCCAGGTATAAATGCAGAAGGTCCAGCTGATATCAGGACAGGCAGGTGGGGAGGCTGCTTCCTTCGGTGGGATGGAGGGGGGGTGTGTGGTTCAGCAGCAGGCGGGGGGAGGACGGCAGATGTGTAGCCAGGCTGGGTGGGCAGACAGGGAACTGCCCTCCATCAGGAACTCCAAGAGAGAAGTGAGCAGTACATTCATAAAACTATGTAACCAATAGTTGAAGAATACAAAGTATAACCTTCACTGAGGGTGTGAACTAGCTATCAGCTTAAACAAGTGAGTTTTTAGCCTTGACTTAAATATCAGGAGTGAGTGAATCTTGGACATTTGCTGGAAGACGATTCCATAACTTTGGAGCCCCGTAACAGAATGCTCTGTAACCAAATGAAGATCATTCTACTCTAGGCACCGCCATGTAGCCCATCTCTCGAGAGCAAAGCAAACAAGAGAGGTTATATGGAACCAGTTAACTGCTAATATACGCTGGTGCTCAACCATTCAGTGCCTTATAGGTAAGCAGTATTCTTTCTAGTCGATGTGAGACCTACCCGGAACCCAGTGAAGTTTGGCCAGTACAGGACTGATAAGTGCATTTTGCTGCAGCATTCTGTACCAACTGGATTTTATTTAAAGATGCAAATGCACATCCAACCAGTAGGGCATCGCAGTAGTCCAGTCTAGAGGTGTGTACTAACTTTTCTGCATCTTTAAGTGAGAGCATTGTTCTAAGTTTCGCAATATTCTGCAGATGGAAGAAAGCTGTTCTAACCATGGCATTTATGCGAGCGTCCAGAGACGAGGCTCAGTCAATGGTGACACCAAGACTTTTAACCACTATTTTTACACTGACTGGGCAGCTGTTGAGC